GTCAGAGATAACACTGTGGAGCTGGAGAATCACAGCAGGCCAGGCAGCATCAGAGGAGCAGGAAAATTGACATTTCGAGTTGGGACCCTTTGTCAGAAAAGAAGTAATACTTTTATTTGTTTGAATGAGGATGAAGTCAGTTACCTTATCTGCAACAATAATGGAAATTCAAAAGACATTTTTGCAGTTTAAGGGGTTAAAGCATCAGACTTTTTATGTTATTTCTGCCATTGTTTGTTTATTAACTAATCTAAAACTTAGAAATACTTTAATTTGCATAAATGAACTACAATTTATATAATACCTGTTGGATCACTTTGACCAAAATTCAGTTGCCTTTTATATGATCACTGCAAATAAAAATGTCTGGAAAACATGTAGATGCCAGCCACAAAATGGAATCAGGAAATGTGGGAGAAAGGTTTTAGCAAAGATCTGTAGCTCGGGTTGTGGGTGAGGTTGTTGTCTTGCTCGCCGAGCTGGCTTGTTTTCACTCAAACGTTTCATCGCCATGCTAGGTGACATCATCAGTGAGGCCTCCGATGAAGTGATGTTATTCTCCTCCCCTTGGAATTTATACTGTCCGGTCTGTTATGGTGAGTAGTGTCATTTCTGGTTTTGTTCTGTATGGGTTTGTATATGGGGTCCAATTCTATATGTTTGTTAGTTGCATTACGGGTTGTGAACCAAGCCTCTAGGACTTCCCGTGTGTGCCTATGTTTGGCTTGGGCTACTATGGTTACGTTGTCCCAGTTAAACTGATGGCCTTCATTGTCTGAGTGTACTGATATTAAGGAAAGTTTGTTGTGTCGTTTTGCTGCTAGCTGACGTTCGTGTTAGCCATCAGAATACATGAACTTTCCTTAATACCAGTATACATGGACAATGAGGCATGGTTCTCAACCCATAATGCAATCAACAAACATATAGAATTGGACCGCATATACAAACCCATACAGAACAAAAACTAGAAATGATACTGCTCACCATAATGGACCAGACAGCATAAATTCCAAGTGGAGTACAACAACATCACTTCATCGTAGGCCTCACTGATGATGCCACTTAGCATGATGACAAAACGTCTAAACGAAAACAAGCCAGCTCAAGTGAGCAAGTCAACAACCTCAATGTGGGAGAAACTCTGGTCTGGCAGCATTGAGAGAGAGCAGTTCACGTTTTGAAGCCAATGTGATATCTCTTCAGAACCACAGTACTTGGCTGTTATTAGAAGACATTGTTCATTTGGCTGCACTCTGGCCTTTGCATCTGAAGGCTACATATTCAAGATCCACTTTCTAACATGAGCACAAAAGTCAAGGCTGCCATTCTAATGAAGTACAGGAGTACAGGACAAACGGGAGTCTTTTTTTCAATTCATTTATGAAATGTGAGCATTGCTACCTGTATCAGCATTGATCGCACACATTGTCCTGGGTGTCTTGCATTCACAAAATTCACTTCTGGGTATTATCACGTATTGTCATGGGTGCTAAAAGATACTGCATTTATTGTAAAGTGCCTCAAGATGTTCAAAGGTTATGAAGGGGACTGTGCAATTGTAAGGGTTTTTTTTTTCTTTTTTGATGCACCACAACTGTAAAGTAAGTTTGCAATTCAAATCAAAGACCTTATTTTGAATCCCTGTTGGCTGAGCTGTGAGAAATGTTAGCTGTCCCTTTCTTCAGATGCAAACTGAGCTCCATTTACAGCAGTTTTAAAAAAAAAAGATATTTTAGCATTTGCATGTTTTTTGTGTGTTAATAATATAGCTTGCAAATATTATTTTCTGCCACAATTATGCAGCTATTTTCTCAATAGTGTATTGTTGCTTTTTTGAATGGAGTAGAATGGAAAGTGACATGCTGGGACTTTCTACAGCTTTGCACTCAGATTCCAGTGCAATTGGCTAGGAAATATTGTGAAATTCTTTTATCAAAATTGTAAATATACAAAACCACTTGCATTTGCCTTTGCCTTGATGCTTCACACGTTTGCAAAATTCAAAATCACCAGATCAGTTCCCACTGACAAAATTGGTGAAGCCTGTAGGGGAAAACAGATTTTCCCTTACTGTGCTTGATCAAGTTGCACTCATTTTCTTAGGCACAGAAGCACTGAGAAGCAAGCCTTTTTTTTAAGTTTCTTAGTAAGTTAAGCATTTGATATTGAGTACAAGAATTAAGGTGTTGAATAGTTCAGCATAATATATAAGTCATTTTCAGTGATTTTGAATCTGGTCACCCAGAGTGGATTAGACATCATCCTTAAAGCAAAAGGCTATTTTTATTGATAAATCCTATTTTTATTCGGTATTAATAAAACTGGACCAAACTTAAATACACTTGAATGGAATTTTTTTAAAAACAGGAATGATTCTATTCCATTATGTTGCCTATTTGCTCTAGTTCATTGAAGATTTTACATCTTGTGATCCTGCAAATCGGTTTACTAGAAACTTGAACTGTAACACAACTTCAAATCTGAGGACAGTTTCTTGATTGCACTGAAATGCATATACTAGGTATCTGTAACTGCGAAAACAAAATGATTGAAGTAATAAATCAAGTTTAAAGCCCAACTATTATCAATTTGCCTGCTGTGGGGCTAAAACAGTCATTGTAATTATGGTTCAATGAAGGAATTATGTTGATTGTATCTGTGGAAATGCCCATGAAATTCTGACTCTTGAGTGAGCTTATGAGGATAGCATTGTTGGAGTGGTTAAGTGGAGGCAATTAATGGACTGGGCAAAAAACAAATCGAGACATAACTTGTGTCAAGGAAAGTCTGCATATATCCCGTAAGAATTAACTCAAGATCTATTAGGATTTATCTAAGTTTTTTTAAAAATGTACTCTTTACGTAAAATTCAGAATAGGTTTGAATAACCCATGATCGCTATTATGACATTGCATTGTCCTAAATTAAATTTCATGATGCGTCAATAGTTTTTAAATTTGCACTACGCATTATGGTGTTTCTGATTTTTGTTTCATTCATTCATGAATTATGGATGTCACTGCCTGGGCTAGCATTTCTTGCTCTGGAGTGGCTTGCTAGGCCGTTTCAGAGGGCATTTAAAAGTCAACCACATTGTTGAGATGTGGGTCTAGAGTTACACATAGGCCAGTCTGGGTGATGATAACTATATATTTTTTTCCCTGAAGGACATTAGTGAAACAGATGTGGCTTTGCAACAATTGACAATGGTTACATGGTTGCCATGACGCTAGCTTTTAATTGCATTCAAACTTTGCCATCAGTTATGTTGGGATTTGAACCGTTGTCCCCAGAATATTATCCTGGGTGTCTGGTCTAGTAATGTTACCACTATGCCACTGCACCCCCACCCCTCAAATTGTGTCAATCTGCAAAATATTTTATTATCATTTTGTTATGTTTCCTTGATTGTTCTTGCAATAAACCTGGCACTTCAGACTTAACAGTCATGTGCCATATGATGCTGTATAACTTTCAGTTCAATGTTGCCCCTATGACAGAAGAAGACCACTTTGGTTATCATTATGTACCATTATTAATTCTGACTGCTGCTAACAGCATATTTTAATTTTGTACACCTCTAATTCTTTCATATTTGCTTTATTCCATTAGTAAAAAATTTATAAACCAATGATTAGAAATTAATCTAACCAAAAATGAAAGTCAGGATTGAAAAGTGCAAATTTAAAAAAAAATCTCGGGAACAATTTTTAATGCAAATAATTGGTACTTATAAAGAAACCTTGCCAGTGAAATGCAATACATTGATTGAGTTGAAAAGCTTTGATTTTGAAAATTGTAGTTAATGTCACCAGACTTTCTTCTCAGCGAATAGATGCACATATGTTTACTAAATGTGTGACTCCAAGAAGAAAGAAGTCACAAATGTTCTCATGCTAATGTGTGTAGGGCAAGATGCTCATCCAGATGAGTAAAAGTAAAGCTCATTAATATATAAAATATCACTGTTTCATTTCCTGTTTTTCATTGAGCCTGTTGTCCTTTTATTATTCTGAGCAAAGTTGTTTTTGTTTAAACCCATTTACTGCTATCACAGTGTTAAAACTTCTAGCTTTATTCAAGCTATGGACCTGCAACAACAGTTGAAAGGTTTTCTTGCACCTGATTGTTCATAATAAGCTTTTGAGATCAAGCAAAAACAGTGTGAAACTTTTACAATGTTCCAACTTTCCTGGGAACTTAGTCTAACAGTGTTGTTGTAAATTTAATATCAAATGTCATAATTACCATGTTATTGTAAGCATTTGCGTCATAAATCACACATTGTTCCAAACTGATAATCTTAAAAACTCTTCAATATTATAGCACGAGTAATTGAGCACTCAGCAATGAATATTACAAATCAATTTGGAAAGTAGAAACTCTTTAGAAATTTTGTGATTGATGAGATGGAGGGGAGGTGGGTGAAAATATTTCCCATCTGAAATCAGTGATCGCTTATCATACCTCCTTTATTGGGATAGAAATGTAATTAAATTGTAGATCAGCAAGTAGGATGATGCAGGCGTAGTTTCATAAATTTATAATTGGATGAAACAAGACATCTAATCAGTGCAAGTTCTTTATAAAATGGACTTTAAATGGGGTTTGAAAATAATAGGCATAATTGAGTTTTAAATAGGGTGAGGGCAGCATTTTTCTAAATCAGATATTGAATTATAAACCAAAAACAAAAGATTCACAACTCTCCCACATTGAATTGAGCTATAATGAATTCTAAAATTTGACCTGTAGCTTATTTGATTTTCCTGAAGGGATTTAGTTTTTGCTTTACAAACACTTTGATTTGGTATTGGTTTCAGTGGACCCAGTAGAGTACCCAAGGGCCTGATTGAAGAGGTCAGACCTATATCATTAGAATGTGCTGTCCAAAGAATACTGTTTAGTAACTTCAATCTCAGTTTATAAATGTTCACGCTAATTTAGAAAAGAAATTAACTAATAGCCTTCTTTTTTTCTCCTGTCCCTCATTGAAGGAAATGTACTCAAAAGGAATCATCCCACTCTCTTCAATAAGTAGAGTTCAAGAGTTAGGAGACAACAAATTTGAGGTGGTTTCCTCTACCAGAACTTTTACTTTTAGAGTTGAAAAAGAAGGTAAGAAAGCGACATACCCGAGAATCGTCATTCAATTTAATTTATTATCGGGAGTTGTAGACCTGAAAATGTTCTCCTCTATTGTGATTTATCCATCTTTTCACCACCTGGTAATAGTTGGTGGCTCAAAATAATAAGCCAGTGTAGGTCCCTAAAGCAACTGCTTTGCTGTAAATTAGAAACAGTTCACCCATCAGTTATCTTTATTTAATTTTGCACCGTCCTCAAGTTTCTTCCTGTGTGAAATATTTGATGTTGTTTCAAATGATCTGAGGGTCCCACCCAAGCACTATGTAGAGAATAAAGCAATCTCACTGCTTTTGAGGAACCTTGGATTTATTGTAATTTGAAGTCCATCAAAACAGCATGCATACTGAGATATTAAAAAAAAACTGGAAAATCTCAGCAGGTCATGTCACACCTTTGGAGAGAAACAGAGTTATATTTCAGAGATAGTAGGAACTGCAGATGCTGGAGAATCTGAGATATCAAGGTGTAGAGCTGGATGAACACAGCAGGCCAAGCAGCATCAGAGGAGCAGGAAGGCTGACGTTTTGTGCCTAGACCCTTCTTCAGACCCTTCTTTCTGAAGAAGGTCTGGAGTTATATTTCACTTTGATTACCTTTCATCAAAACACTGCTCATCAATTCTGATGAAAGGTCACTGACATGAAACCTTTACTTCTCTCCACATTTACAGTCTGACCTGTCAAGTTTTTTCCAGCTTTTTCTGTTTCTCATTTCAGAGTTGCAGCATCCACAGTAGTTTTGCTCATGTATGTTACATAACAGCTTACAATATATTACATTTTGCAAATCAAAGCATTACTATGCAACTGGCAATGTCTGGTGGTGGAAGTTGCAGTTGAATTCTTAATCTTAACCTCAGAATTGGGTACAGAATAAATAGCCAAACATTCACGTCTTGACATCAGGACAGGCTGAAGTATTACAAGGTATGAAGGTCACCTTGCTTGTTAAGTTGCCACATTGGCAGCATTTCCTGAATTATAATGTCGCAGTTTAGCATTGAATTCCCTCGGTAGTACATCTTGAGCTCATGACCTTAATTGAGCAGCATGTTGCATAACAACGCTTTTAATTACATCTTAGCTATAACATTACATTTGACACTCATGCTCTGGGCTTATCTTCCACCATTTATTTACTTTGAAACTGAGGAAAATGAACTTGAGCTCATTTGTCATTTTATAATTGCAGTTTAAACTTTTTGCATTATATTGCTAACCAATCTAGGTTTTGTTTAGTTCAAAGTTTCGCTTTATTGTATTATTACCATGAGTTGGAAAGATGAAATGGGGAAGTGAGGTGGGGGTTGCTGGGTTGGGGTCGGGGGGTGGTTCTGTGATATCCTGGATGTCAACTGTTTTAATGGTGGGGCACAGATCACACGCTTCCTCTTGCACCAAATGGGAACAATTAAAATTGATCAGCAATTATTTTGGAAAACAATGTTTTCTCCAGTAGATGGAGCTAGATTGTCAGCAAATGGCACATGGATCAACCAGAAGCTAAAATGAAGGCACAGAGTGTGTCACATTTGAGGGGGTGAATGGGGAAAAAAAATTGAATTCAGGTATTTGTCTTCCACGTAAGCTTAACTATGATTTGACTTAGTGCCACACTCTTGATTCTGTTGAGGATATGGGGCAGGGTAATATGGGACTGATGGGAGAATGCAGCAAGTTTTTATTTGTGATTCCAAATCGGGATGCTTCATTGAGGGCCCTCAATGGGGACTAGTACACTCAAAAGACAGTATTAAAAGAGAAACACAAGATAAATTATTTTGATGTTTCATGGAGGAGACTGACTGTAGGCCATTCCAAGCTGATTTAAACTGCACTCTAGTGACCCTGGCTAAAATGCTAACGTACAAGTGTTTCCAAATTAATAACTCAGGAGCATAGCTTTTGCTTGTATTACAATCCATAGCATTATTGAAACATTTTCAGAGTCACAACATATTCTAACTATAGAGAAAACAAGGTGTAGAGCTGGATGAACACAGCAGGCCAAGCAGCATCAGAGGAGCAGGAAAGCCGACGTTTCGGGTCGAGACCCATTTTCTGAAGAAGGGTCTCGACCTGAAACGTCAGCTTT